ACTCAGAGATTCTTCATCCTTTGGAAATATGAGCAGCTCTTCTGCTTTGTGGATTCACCGTGTCAGCTCTTCACAGGTGATCCGTGAGCTCAGTGCGGAAGTGAGATTGGGAAGAAGGAAAGAAGGGTCAAGTGAAGACTGAAGAATCTTTGTCTAGTGTTCTCATTATCCACTTACTTGATTCCTAAACTCTCCTTCGTCCCTTGGTTCAATGTGTCAGTGCCTCACCTGGGCATCTGAGGAACAGAGAGAAATAAGACAGCCCTACCTCTAAGGGCGCACAGTCCAGTAGAAAACAGTGACTCTGAGGAGTGAAGTTACATCATCTTACGGGACATCTACCGTGAAGCATGTAAAGTACATAGGATGGGGAAATTCAGGTGGGAAATCAGGGAAGGTATATTTTGATCCAGGTTTTGAACATTGAACATGAGTAATATTTTGCAGAAAAAAGAAAGGACTGGTGTAGGGAACATATTACAAGATATTACAAGCACAACGAAATGCAAAATCTGTGTAGGAGAAGATGACAAATCAGTGTGGCAGCAGCACTGAGCAGGGAGTAGCTGCCAGAGAGCAGGCTGGAGGGATGGAGAGGGGACAGATTGTAAAAATCCTTATGTGCTAAGCTCAGGAATTTGGAATCTATCATGCAGGCATCAGGGAGCCATAAAAAACATTATATTGCTTCTCCTAGCATCCCTTTTTCAGAGTCATTCTCCACTGTTCAATAATTATGTTCCCCAAATCATAGGGGCAGAGTCGAGGCTGGTTCTACCTGATCCCCAAGTATGACTTAGGCCAGACTATGAGAGTCCTCTAGATTTCTGGCCCCTGATTGGTTCCCGATTCTCCATGTGACCCATTTTCAATGCAGCTCCTAGGAAAAGAAAAGGTTTTTTTCCCCTGTGGAATTGTGTAGTGTAAGCTTGGCATTAGCAGAGGCAAATACAGAAAGACAGGTGGAGGAAAGTAGAGAGGATTAAAAAAGTGCAAACCTACTGATATTATTAAATTATTAGGTATGAATTATATCTAAAGCCAGCCACCTTTCAGGAATCTGTTACATGAGCCAGTCAATTCCCCGCAGCCCTTGATTTTATTTAAGTTGTGCTTCCTGTCACTTCCAGTTAAAGAAGTGACTAACGCCAAGAGTCACAAGTGGTTTGTTAGTAAGGGGATGATACAATCAGGTTCCTTTGTCAGTTAACATGGTCCCAGTTGCAGAATGTATCCTAAATAAGACAGGGACTAAACTATAGGACAGGATACCACTATGGGGACCACGTAAAGAAATGTGAGTCCTGGGTATAAATATTTCTGGGGCAATTATCTGCCAATCCAACAGTGCTAAGTTGGAGTGATGAGAAGTAGCCAGACTCTGGACATATTTGATTTTAAATTATATGCAGAATATAAGAGAACCAGAGAAGCAAGAATAAGTATAGAGTTTTGACTTGGAATGATAGAGTAGGCATTTACTCGGATAGAGAAATATTGGAAAGAACAGATTTGCATGAGTTAGAGCATCTGGAATTTGTTTCGGATATATTAAGATTGAGGTGCTCATTATACCTTCAAACAGACAAGGCAAGCAGATTTTGATACAGGAATCTGGGATCTGTGGGAGAGATCTGGGCTAAAAATGTGGCATTGGGAGTAATCAACACAGAGAGTGTTTAAAACTATGGGAATGTACAAGGTCACCTAGAGTGAGTGTAAATGAAGTACTTAGCCCTGGAAAATGGGTTGCAAGTGAGAGTGAAGAGTCATCAGTAGCACAGTGAGGAGATATAGATGGCAGGTATTGCTGGCAACTAAAGCAAGGCAGATGTTGCAGAGCTGAATGAGTGAAGAACATGAAGGCTGAATATCACAAATACGTGATTACCCAAGAGACACCAATTGTTACTATGCTTGGTACTTATCCTTCGCTCCAGCTCCAGATAGGCCTTTGCCATCGTTTCTCTTACTAGACTTGTTTTACTCTACTGCTTAATGGGACTCATGTAACTTGGGATGTTAGACATTTTGGTGCATCCGTAGGTTTGAAGTGAGATCCTCAAAATTTGAGAAGTCACTGGGGAATCTGCTATTTTCATAACTGTGGTGGTGCTGAAAAGATGTTGGATCTGAAGATGCATTTGAGATGTGATTTCTTATGACTGTAGATGGATATACTGGGAGGGAAATGAAAATGCATTGTATTGGGAAGGTTTGGTATATTCTTACTTGAGCCCCTCATGCCAACTAACATCATGAGCTTTTAATAGTTTTCCCAGATACTGAGGTCTACTGTCGATGCATTGTCTTTTTTACTTTTTACTTTTTAATTTTTTTTATTAAGTTTATTTATCGGTGCATTTTAGGTATACAGTACAGTTACATTCATCATTGGGATCTTGTACCTGAACATGATGCGTCTTGGTTCTTATTTTTTCCCCATTCCCTGGGCCTCCCTTCACCCCCTCCACCCTTCCCTATTTACAAATAATTTGTTTCCATTTTTTCCTTTTCTCATATTTTTATTTTCCCTTCTTTCCTTTCCCCATCCCTCCAATTTCCTCTATTCCTTTAGACCTTTTCTTCCTATTTCACAATATCAATTACACATTTTGATCCTTATTTACACTTTTAGTTTTTCACACCAGAGAAACTCTTCAGTATTTACACACGTGTGTCCCATTTATTTCACTTAAGAGTATGGCCTCAATGTGCATCCACTTAGTTGTAAATATCTCTAGTTTCTCATTCTTCATGGCTGAGTAGTACTCCATTTTATTTAAAAAGCCCACATCTTCTTTATCCAGTCTCCAGTTGATGGGCATTTAGGCTGTTTCCAAGTTTTAGCTGTACAAACTGTGCCACTATAAACATGGGTGAGCATATATCACTGTGATATGATTCTTTTGGGAAGATACCCAGTAGAGGAATAGCTGGGTCAAATGGGACTTCCAATCCTAGTTGTTTGAGGTATCTCCATATTGATTTCCACAGTGATTGCAACAGTCTACACTCCCACCAACAATGAAGAAGGGTTCCTTTCTCTCCACAACCCTACCAGCATTTGTTATTTGTTGATTTCTTGATAGCAGCCATTTTTTCTGGAGTGAGGTGGAATCTCAGAGTTGTTTTCATCTGCATCTCTCGAATGATCAGTGATGTTGAACATTTTTTCATATGTTTATTTGCTATTTCTACGAAATTTCTGCTTATTTCAGATGCCCAGTTTTGAATTGAGTCTTTAAATTTGGGGGGATTGGATATTTTTGAGTTCTTTATATATTCTAGATAGTAGACCTTTGAGGAACAGCTGGTAAAATTTTTTTCTAACATTGTAGGTTGTCTCTTAGTTCTGTTGGTGGTTTCCCTTGCAGTGTAGAAGCTTTTTAATAAGATGAGATCCCAGTTATTGATTCTTTGTGCTACTTCACGTGCTACTTCACATGCTACTGAGGATTTGTTCATAAAGTCTTTTCCTATGCCAGTGTCTTCAAGAATTTCACCTAACTTATCTTCCAGCAAGTTTAATGTTTCTGTTTTAATATTTAGATCTTTAATCCACTTGGATTTTAGTTTAGTGCACGATGACAGACAGGGGTCTAGTTTTAATCTTTGGGAAGTTGCAATCCAGTTTTTCCAACACCATTTACTAAAGAGGCTATCTTTCCTCCAGTGGGGATAGTTGGCTCGTTTGTCCAAGTTGAGGCAGCTGAGTATGTCTGGAGTTGTTTCTGCATCTTCTAATCTATTCCACTGATCCTCAGGTCAGTTTCTTTGCCAGTGCCATGGTGTTTTTATCACAGTGGCTTTGTAGTGTAGTTTCAAGTTGGGGATTGTTGCATTGTCTTTTTTATCCTGGGGTCTCTAAAGGGCTTATAATCTTGGGTGGTTTCATATGAAGAAATATTATTTGTAATTACAAATATCTCAGGAAATAAGGATGTTTCTTTTCTCACTTGACAAAAATCCTGGAGGTCAACAACTGAGGAGTTGTGTGATCCAGGAGATTATGAATGTCAATGAAGACCAGGCTCTCTTCATCAGTATTGCTCCAACAGCCTTCATGTCAACCATATTGACACTCATGGTCACAAGGTGGCTGCCATAGCTCTACATCTGTTATTCCCTCACCATAGCATTCAAAACTAGAAAAAATGGACCCCTTTCTTCTTATCATTGGCTACTTTTTTTTAATCTATAAAGATTACATTTCTCAGAATACCTGAGCTATTCAGGTTCCACTGGCCAATAGTGGATCACATGTCACCTGGAAATGAGAATTATGTAAGAATTGCTTAGGTAAGTCATGGTTCATTCTTCAGGGCTAAGGAAAAGGTCCATTCCCTGCACACATTGCCAGTCCTTACTGAAATAAAACCATAGTCCTGTTAAAGGAAAAGGGGACAGACAGCTGCTGTCATAGGAATCATGGACATGAATGACAGAGGTCTGGGTCTTCTTGTTTGAACCATGATAATGACATAGATCATCAGCAGCATCCAAACAATGAAAACTGGACTAAAAATACCAACCCTCACTGTTAAAATAGGCAGCAAGGAAGTGGCCAACAATGCCATATTCTTCGGAGAGATCGAGTAGATGAGGCCCAAATGACTTCCATATGTGGCAACTGTGGCCTTAGCGATGGGCTTATTGAATATTTCATTAGACTTATGGAAGCAGACTTCAGGAGCTAGCGCTAGCACTTTTCAAACCTTTGGTCGTGAAGAAAGGACATCATATGATGTTTTTGAAAAGTGTTACAAAAATACTTTGCGTTTTTTCCTAAGAGAAGGTTGGGATGAACTGTTTTGGACAGATGTGAAATACAGAGACTGAATGAATAAACTACAGGATCCTGCAGGTTAGGAATCCAATAAAAAATTAAGAAATTATGAGCCATGGATAGAAGAATTTAAGCTTCACATCACAGCTATGAATTCTTAAATTTTATAATGGTAATAATAATAATAATAGCAAGCCCATTGAACTCCCTTTTTGCCAGTTTCCCTTTTAAGCTCCTTATATGCATCACCTTCTGAGTCTTTACAGTGTCTCCAGCTGGCACCATTACTGTTTCCATCTAATGGACAAGGGAAGCCACATCAGTGAGAAGCAGAGAGGGACAACCTGGACTTTCTGCATGAAACCAACTCCCCTGGTCAAGAGAACAAGGAAAGGGGGATGTGGCTAGAAACAGAAAGCTTGAAAAAGGAGGTAAGTCTCTGAAACAAATACAAGGGCTCTGGGACAAACTGCTGCCCAGGGACCAATAAAAGGAATGAATAGCAGAAGTGGACTGGCTGAGGTTAGGAGCTAGGAATTTATGGAGATCTGAATCTACATTCTCTGCTGTAAACAGTAGAGCAGAATAAATGGACCGGGGGAATCATCCCACGAGGGGGCTGGTCTGTGAGTCTGTGATTTAGACTCAGTCTTCTGCCGGTAGCCAATGGCATAAATAGTTCCTGTTTTATTTCTTGTTTGTGCCCAGGTAATGAAAGCCTTTATTTCCAGAACCTTTTCCCCAGGCATTCCCAGAAGCAGGTCCTTTCCCCTGCTACTCTTTATAGGCACTTTTGCTGGGATAAAACACAAGAAATATTTTCTTCCTGAAATGACAGAAGAGAGTCTTTCCCTTGCTCCAAAGAAAGTGTGGCCTTTGATGGGCAAAATCACAGTAGAATCTGCAGCCATCATCTCGAACGCTTCCCACTCTCTCTTGGGATAGAAGGAATCAAAGTGCTTGCTAAATATCACTTTTTCCATGAGTTATCAGAAAGAGAACACACCACTTGTTTTTTCTTTTCAGCATTTATTGTAGTTTTTGATTTTCTCAAGGCTGTTCCCATGATCTAACAAACACACTGGTAACAAAAGCTCAGCCCCCTAAAGATATTTAAAGGGAAATAACCTTTGTTACAGAGACACAGGAACAGCCAGGTTCTGAGCACAGATGTGGCAGGGGCAGATCTGCCAAGGGGACTAGGCTCTGGATTTGGGGAGGAACAAGACCATGTGCTTCCATCCAGCCCAGAGCTGCTGGGCCTCAACCTGTCTTTGCTTCTGTAGACCACTGTAGAGACAAGCAGGAACGGAAATGACACATTCTCAGCCTTTTAAGAACTACCGTGTATTATTTTCCCAACCTGGACCCACTCAGATCCTGAAATTTCAATTCATTTTATTTCCTTTTTTCCCAGGATATTTTGTTTCCTACAGGTACAAAACCATGCAAAACAAACCCCAAAACAAAAAATAAACAAGATTAGTGAGAAAATTTCAAAAACATAACATCAACTCTTCTCTCAAATTGAAATGTAAAGGAAGGAGACACTATATGTAATATCTTCTGCAGCTCACAATCCTGTAATAGTCAAGCTTCAGTCCCCTCCATCCCCTGGGAACTATCCCATCCACTCTTGCTGAGTGGCTGGATGACCCTTGTGCTTTCTCGCAAACATGGCATCTTCCTCCTGTAAAACCTTCATGAAGACAGTTAATGGGGCTTCTTGGTTACAGCCTTTATCTAACACCTAGCATAGGATTTATGCATAAATGCTTGCAAATAAAATGAAAGAATGGAATAAGTGGCAGAGGTTTCATAGCTTCTTGGTCTGGTTAACAACTATCACTACCTACATCTTCCTTCTTGGGTCTAATTTGGTTGATTCTAGGTAACAATGGTTGCTAATGGCTTTCTGGGACACCATCTTCTTGAAAGTGACTGCTCCAAGTCCAGACTGGATGTAGCATTGGCAAAGGGCAGTTGAAAGGTATGCGTACTGGCCAAACATACACACAGGTGTAGCCTGGCCCACAGGCATGTTCCAGCACAGTTAACATGCCCTCAGTGACCTTTGACTTTGGGTGGACCATAGGAAGTGGTGGGGAATGCTTCAGGGTGGCAAGTGTGGAGCCTATTCAGAACTGGACATGCACTCAACCCCTGCCTCCTGAAAAAGCCACCCTCCTTGCATTCCAGAAATATCTATCTTGCAGATCAATCTGCCAGGCAAAGCTGCTTTTAAATATCATTTTCCCTCCTGGACCTCTGATGATCAGGTAGTAGGATGTGTAGCAGGAGAGGAGTCAGTCAATTCAAGCTGGAAGTTTGGCTCGTCTATGTAACCTTAGGTAATACAACATACTTCCTACTTTTGCATCTGTAAAATAATTTCATAAATCATGAACTCTAGTTCTTCACACCAAATTTCCCAGCTCTCTTTAGTTGGCCTGCACCTGGATTCCTGCAGCAGCTTTTCCTAATCCTCAGTGTACCCTCAAGATCCTCTGATTTGCCTGTTCCTTTTTACAAAAAATCAGAGTAGCCTGCCTTGGAAAGATCCCTTGGTAGTGACCGTATGATATGTGAGCGCTGGAATGCAAGAGTAAAGAGAGAAATTAATCAGGGAAATAAGCTATCCTGGGAAGGATCCTTCCGGGAACTTTAGGAAGCATTTTTCTGGGGCCGTGTAGTTTATGAGAGAAGTCTGTCTCACTCTGGGTCTCAGTTTGAATGTAAATCTTGGTTTTCTCTTGGAAAAGAGGGTAGAGAAGGGTTTTGTGATGCATGAGACTCTCTAGAGTGAGAGGTGTCAGCCCAAATGAGCCCCAAGTTGCTCATCCAGTATAAGCAGGCCCCACAATTATTGCAATTACAAGGTGTTACTGGGTCTACTCAGAAAAGGAGGAAGCTGTGATGGAGATCTTTCTGATTCCAAAACTGGAAATGCTGTTCAGGCTCTAGCCTACTGGTGGCCTCATGAATGATTTCCCAACTGGTCAGGATTCTCTGCAACTAACACTCAGAATTAATTTGGAGTGGTTCCTTCTTGATATATAAGTGAACAAGTAGCAGAACAGTAAAGAAAGAGGACCATCATTTGACCTCGGCTCCAGGCAATGTGAGGGAAACTAGGAGATAGAGGGTCTCTGGAAAGATTTATGTTCTTCATCAAGGAACTGAATATGTTCACTTAAAGATGCAGGATTTTTCCTTCTGGGGAAAGATTTTGCTTGATAATAATGTCCTGCATGCATACTACTCTATTTATCCCAAATCTATGCTTAGTGACCTTCTTAATTACTAGGTCTTATACTTTATATTTCTCATTTATTTTAGTGTCCACTGCGTTAGGACACTACCTCAGGGCTGGAACAGAAGGCAGTGAAACAACTGGGCAGAGTTTGTCAAAGTCATGGAAGCCTAGGGCACATGCTCAGAACATAGGATCCAGGGTGACTCTCTCAGCAGTGGACACAGAACCAATGAGAAAAGTGGTATTTTCAATTCTTCATTTACATACAGATAAAGCCTGAGTCTTCAGATAGAGCAATTTAAATCTGGTGCCAGAACAAGTGAATTTTTGATAGGACAGCCATCCCAGTGCCTTATGTGCAGGAGAGAAAAGCCAATCCAGGAATTTCACACACAAAAGACCCCTTTCCCTTATCCTTGAGGAGCAATGAGTCTGTTTACTGGGCAGCTTTCTGTAGAGAGTGCTTCTTTTTCACCTTCAGTAAATGCACATCCCCACTACCTTTTCTGCGTGTCTTGTCCAATTCTTTGTTCAGGACACTAAGAACCTGGGAAGAATTCCCTCGGGGTCCACCATCCGGCAGCACTACCACTTTGTGCTGTAGCCTAACTCAGGAGAATAATTCTTTCATGATTTGGTATGAGGAAAATGCTGCTGAATGCATTTGTAGAGTTAGTGTTTCCCCCTGGTTGGTTCTCCCCCATGGTTTCATGTGTTTTCTGTGCATCCCTCTCATAATTCTGAGCATCCTTTGATGTATGCACTTCCGTGCCCTCCTTCCCCACTGAGCTGAGAGTCCTGCCAAGGCAGCTCAGGTCTCTCCTATTTCCTATGTCTCTTCCAATTGCCACTTGGTCACTCTGTGGATATGTGTGGAATACAAGACTGCATGGTTATCTTTAAGAACTCTGTTGTTTTTCCATATTCAGGGACACTAGAGACTCATACTTTTTTTAACCTTCATTTCCTACTCTGATGACATAGGACATACTCTTATTACCTCGTCATGTAAGATATTTCACAACTTTTGAAAGGGACTCAGGCATCTCTTATGCCTGAAAATGGAAATTTCTCATTCCTATAGGAAACTGGAAAACATGAGCTCATCTCTTCTCACCTTCATTTGTTTCAAGCAGAACATGAGAAAAACCCTCAACCTCAACATACTCACAGAAACGCTGGAGCTGCCCCTCTCTGGGCATGGCTTTGGTTCTTAGACATCTTTGTCTTCAGTGTAAAATTTTTTTTATTTTTTTGGTACCGGAGATTGAACTTGGGACCTTTCACTTGCAAGGCAGGCACCAGAACCGCTGAGCTAAACCCCCGGGCCATCTTCAGTGTAAAATTTTAAGGGTGAGAACTTTAGGCACTGAATTCTTAGCCTGGGACCTTGCGAACTTCATACTCACTTCCATCTCAGGAGAATCTGGTTGGCCCTGTGTGCGTGTGCTTGAATCCTTGAGCCTTGTTATATCTGAAAGGTCCTTGAGTGTAAAGGATAGGGCAGGGAGAGGAGAAATTGTCTGTGAATGCACTGGGAGAAAGAAGGCTTTGCATTTGAATATGTAAAATTCATTGTCATTACAAAGAGTATGGTTCCTAGTCTGGGCTTTTTGCAAATCAATAGTGTTTCTTTTTCTTTTAGCACTCTCATAATTATTCAATCTGTGTAAGACAGCAGAATCTCCTGAAGATACCCTCTTGGAACTCTATCAAGGCATATTGTTCTGGAAGGAGCATTATGACCCTCCTCTTTCTCCTCCTCCTCCTTATCTTCTTCACGATTATCATCATCATCACCGTCTTCATTACCATCAGTGCTGCAGCATCAGTATCACTGGCACCATTGTCATCGCCATCCTCACCATCACGTGTGTTGATGGAGCACTTTATTCCTTCCAAATGCTTTCCATCTAGGAACTCATTTTGACCATCATAGAAACTCTGGATGATTCACCAGGTAGGGATTAAAGACACTCATAGATATGAAACAGGTTCAGAATGGTAATTCTACTTGCCCAAGACACAGACACAACTAGATTAAACCCAGTTAGCTCTCTTCTGATGGTAGAGGGGCAAGGGAGAGGTTTTCTTTGGAAAATGATGGGGTGAACAAATGGGAGGGAAAGTGAAGAAGTGAAGAAACTGAAAGAGCCAAGGAGTTCAGTGAGGTGTCAGAGAAGCTCTGACTGGGACTCCCAATTCTATGGGCCTGAGCAGGTCACACTCTACTGGACTTAAAATTTGATCTGAGGTTCTTCTGCAGGTTGCAGGGAATCCCATGAACTGCTGCACCTTCACTACTCTGAAGTCATGGTTTCCATGCACAGATAAATGGGACTGCCGAATTATTTTGTCATTATAGCTGTTGTGCTGTGAGCTGGTAGTTCCAATTTGTGATGTCAAGGTTTTCAGTGATATTTCCAAAAAAAAAAAAAAAAAAAAAGGGAGCAATGACAACTGCACCTTTTGGAATGATGAATTCTCCTTTTCTCATCTCTGAACCACATGCTACTTCCTTTCCAGAGCCATGAATCATCCATTTGAGGGAAGGGAGGAGAATAGAAAATTAAACATAATTTATGCTTTGTTAATTGAAATCAAATAAAAAATTCAATCTCCCATGAGTTGCCATTCTCACATTTAACTGGAGCAGATGTATTATCAACCTGACTATTTCAGAAAGTTGACTTAGCTTTCCTGGATACCAGATAATTCCTTCATCTGGTCTCCGCAGTGACAAAGGGAACATGGCTTGGTGGCTCACTCTGAGTCACAAGGATCAGGCTAGAGTAAACACGGATGAAAAGAGCCCTTAAACATTTCAAGTTTGCCTTTCATTTTGGAACCATGAGCTTTCAACCAGTTTGCCAAATACAACTTAAAAATGAAAGTCCTCACGATCCAAAGGGTTAGGTGTCTCTTTTTTCCTCCAGTGAATTGTAGTCTATGTTTCTAGCCAAGGATGTGTGATTGATTTAGGAGGGAAGGGTTTTCTTACTCTTATTTCCAAGGCGCAAATGGCTTCTTCACCACTGGTTAATCATATCAAAGAATGGGTTTGCTTGTCCTGTTTATGTGAGGACACATACTTGGCAGCTTTCTTTGGAAAGACTACTTAAGGTATTGATACTTTGGACTCATGAGGCCAGGGAGACAGGAAAAGGGAGGCAGAGAGCTAAGTGTGACTGAAGGGCTAGATGGATGTGTGCTTCCCTATGAAGGAAGAGTGGAGGGTGGGCTGGAGTAATGGTCATTCTTAGCCAATACATTAACATTCTTAAAACTTTTCTCCAATCAGATATTGCGCTCTCTGTCTAAATTATAGACTCACCTAGTTGCTACTGAACTCCAAAAGGAAGCATTCCAGCAAGGTAGCCATAACACCCTGGTGGCCATCTGCCTGTGAAATAACTCCCACAAAAGCCTAAAAGGAAGATGAGAGGGAAGAAGAGGGGCAAAGAAACATGGAGGGAAGACTTTCCTCCAGTTGTTCTCAGTGCTAGCTTCCCTAAAATTATTTTTTGAAAGGCTTGATGCCTAAGCCGGACTCTAAAATTTCTGATTCAGTGGGTCTGAACTGGTGCTCAGGAAGCTGTGACCTGAAGAAAATCCAGAGCTGAGTCAGAGGGGTAGCCAGGGCTGAAGCTCACTCACTCCTTGCTCTGCTCAGAATACAGGGCCCCACACTGGCCAGGCCTGCAGCACATCCTTTGGAACAAGCATGCATTCTCTTCCTCCCAATGCAGTGTGCACATATTTTGATCTATGTCTTCCTTTGCTTTGGTATTGAAATTATATCTGCTGCTTTCAACTGTTTTTCTTATCTAGAAAAAATTATTTCTGAATCTGGCCTATCAGTCAATTCCTTGCCAGGACTGACTGAGACAGGGTAAACTGCACTCTTTTCAGGGCCCACTTTCTTTGTCCTGTGGCAAGAATCATCCTGCCTTGCAGACAGAATTCTCTAAATCTCTCAAACCTGGTTCTTTCTCGTCATCCCAGAGCAAAGATGCTCCCAGCATTCCACGGTGGGGGTGAGGATGGAAGCAACAGACACAAACATACCATCGAAAGCCATTAATCAGGTTGCATTAAGCTTTTTAACAACACAGTTTTCATTTAGCTGGAGAAATGACAATTTAATAACAGCTGAACAGACTTAACTCCCCCCACTCATACAAATTTCCAATTTTACTAGAACAATTTCTGGTTTTGGAGATCTGTGGACAAGTGCTTTATGTCAATGCTGTATTTTAATTGACTCAAACTAATGGAAAGGGACACATTATTTGGCAGCCCTTGATAGGGGTGTCTGAAGACAGCCCTTGACCTCTCCCACCCCCCTTAAACTGAATGGGACAAGTGGAATCAGCCCTCTTGCCACTGTCCCATTAGATGCCATCTCTGAGTAGAGAAAACGAACCATGAGGTGACCCTGAGGGGCGGCAGTGAGACAAATAGTAGAAGGTGATTGCCTTTTCCCCATTGTATCACTAGGGGTGATTCACAACAGACACACCGACTCACTGGTCTTTGCCTCTTTGGGGACCACAGGGGACAGAGTCTACCCCAAAAGCATGCCTCAGGACCACGGTGCCTGGGGAAAGGGTCTTTGGGAAAGGAGATCTCCCACCAGGAGGACTCAGTTTCTTCCTTCCTCCTTACATGTGGCCATGTATCTCCACTGATCTCAGGGCTCTGGACCAGACTGCAATCATACCGCTCAGAGCAGCCCTGCGGACCTGACTCTAACAGAACACGTATGAAAACTTCTCCTTAATTCCAGATAGTCACAAAGAGAGACCCCCTTAGTGGGTTCTTAGAAAGACAGCTTCCAGGGGTGTCAGCTACTGTTTTGGTGAGAAACATAGGTGCATGCCTCTGCTTCCACAGAGTGGGGATGGAGGAAGTCAGGGGTCATGGGATGAGGCCTTTGATGAAAGGCTAGAAATGCCTTAGAGGGGAGAACCTTGCTCCCTAGGAGTCCTGGAGCACTCAGCCAAAAAGAGCATTCTGGAGTGAAGCCAAGGCAGAAGTTTAGACATCAGGTACCAGGGCCAGAACTTAGGTTCTAGAAGTCTAGAACCTAAGCTCCTCAACTAACAAAGGAGCCCCTGTAAAGGTAGGTCTTTCTTTTTTGCCACTCAAACAAACATTCATGCACTCACTGTCTCTGGCATTGACAGATGTCTATTCTGTCTTCAGGCTCTACTAACTAGTAGAAGAATTAATGGTGGGTACTGTGGCCATCTGGTCAACCAGAGACATCAAGCCTAGTCCTTCCCTGGAAATACTGTGAGATCTACCCCTTTGCCCAAGCCAACAGCTTTGGAGGCAATCCTGACTGCATAAAAGAGGAGACCTACTTGGCACTCCTGCAAAGCCAAAGCTGCAGAACCTGGGGAATTCAGGACTCGGGTAAGGAGCTTCCTTGCTATTCACTAGCCTTTCCACCACAGCTCTAGCCTCATTTGTCACCCTCTTCCTGTTCCCACTGGAAATCTTGGCCAGTCATTTGGTAAAACATCATGTTGAAGGGTTTGTAGAATTTCCGAAGTCTGTGGATGACATCAGGGTCTATGCGGGGATGAGTCCGACCTTTGCTCTTGCCTAGGCACCGAGGGGCACTGCTGTCTTCCGGCTTTTTGAGGCAAGGGAAACCCTTGGTTTTGTTGAAATAGAAATGCTTCTCGGTCACAATGCGCTTCAGGCCTAGAAAATCCTGTACTTTGGCCATTTCCCCGGCAGGGTCCACAATGAGTCGCTCACCGCTGACGAAGAGAATCTGTGAGAGGGGGAAGTACTGGAGCCAGTTCTCCAGGTGCAGGGCATAGATCCCAATCCGGATGGCACTCCAGGAGGCATCGATCAGCCCCAGGGTCCGGTTTTTGAAGGCCAGCACCTCGAAGGTAGGGATCTCAGGTTTCTTTGACAGCGTCTGTGTGTAGTCAGAAATGGCCCTGGTCACGGGGTTCCTCACCACCACGATCAGTTTGATGTCTTTGGCCATGGAGTGAATGCGCTTGGGAGCCTCATTCGTCACAAAGTAACTGGGGGTCTTCTCCATGGTTATCTGCCCATCAAGAGTCTTGGGCATCACATTTCTGGAAGAGGGAGGAAAAGGGAAGAGGATAGTTATTCCTACCCAGAAATATTTTAACATCTTTGCACAAAATGTGTGATATGAGTAACCTAGTGAGGAGTCACCAAATCAAATTTATAAACACTTAGGAGTTCATTTTTTCCGTGTGTTTCAACTACAGTCTTGTCTGTGTAATTACCAGAAAAGGTGGCATGAGGCTGAGCGTTCTTTCTTGGGAACCTCACAGCCCTCAGCTTAAGATGCTTTTCGACCTCTTACAGTCATGTTTAACCTGGATATGCCCCTAATTTCTCTCCATATTTGTTTCATAACCTCTTAAATGGAGATAATGTTAGCACTGACTTCACATTATAGTGTAAGGATTAAGGGAGATGATGTTGGAGAAGCATTTAGTACAGAATCTGTCATGTGCAAATGCTCAATAAATGAAGGCTGTTATTATTGTCCTACTGGCTTCTAGAGAATGTAGGAGCTCAACAAGACCTCCAAGAGTATCAAGTCTAGGGCTGGCAAACCACTACCTGCCTCCTGCTTTTGTATGATTCACAGCTAAGAAAGATTTGTAATCTTTAAATGGTTGGGGAAACCCACAATCATAATAACAACATTATGTGATATATGAAAATTATATGAAATTTAAATTTTGATGTCACAAAGGAACCTTCACTAGGCCATAGCCACACTCATTCTTTAAGTCCTGCCCATGGCTGCTTTTGCACTGCAACAACCGAGTTGAGCAAGTATGACAGGAACTGTGGCCCACACAACTTGATATATATTCACCACCTGGCCGTTTAAGAGAAAGTTTTCCGACCCCTGACTTATTCCAAAGATACAACGTGCAAATGAGGAGGGAGAGGCCCTGGGCAGAGAATGGACACGGGCATCAGACAGGTCGCACAACCAGCAAACTGAGTCACATCCCCAAGTAAACCTTATTATCCTCATTTGTAAAACCCTAAAACTTAGCTCAAGTTTAGTGGAGAATAAAATGATATGTAGAGCCAAAGTATCCAACATGGGCCTGGTTCATGTTACAAGATTTATGTCTACTTTTGCTTGCAAGTTTGTCCAGGTCCTGCAATAGTTTGAATCTGAAATGTCCCCCAGACTCATGTGCAGAAAGGGTGGTTGCCAGCCTTTGTCACTATTGGAAGTGGTGGAACCTTTAAGAGGTAGTGGCTGGTGGCAGGAGTTGAGGTCATGGAGGCCTTTGAAGGGCAGATGAGGACCCCAGTCTCTTCATCTCCACTTTCTTGCTTCCATGTCCTGGTAATGGGGTGAACAGCCCTCCTCTACTGTGTGCTCCGCCACAGTGCTATTGTAGGCCCCAAAGCAATGGGACCTATCAACCATGGACTGAGGCCTCTGAAATGATGAGCGGTATAAACTTTCCCTTTTATTAAGCTGATTATATCAGGTATTTGTTACAGTAACAGAAAGTGGATTCACACAGATTCCATGGGCTTGTGTCTCTGACACACCCACTCTTTCATCTGTGTTTGCCTTCAGAGTGGCTTATCTTATTTGGAACACTAGAGGGGTTTGATGTAGTTGCCCCCCAATCCCATTGTAGTGGGCCTATCAGTGATAAAAGGAGGCTGAGGATCCTGTTTGCAGTCAGTTTGCTCCGTGCATATGTAGACCCGAGGTAACTGATGAAAACCTGTCCAGTACCTGTCGGTATAGCAGGCCGTCTGCCACCAGGTGCGCCATTAAGTCTATTCACTTCTGAGCCTTGCACCAAAGTGGTATATTTAGGATCACACAAGCCTCTTTGTTATGATGACATGCTTTTAAATGTCTCAGCTAATAAAACTTAATACAGATGGAGATCCCCTAGCTTCTCCTACCATAATTAAATTTATTTACTATCGAGTGTGTAGAAAGAATGACTTTTCTTTTATCTCTAATTCACATGCTCTGTCAATAATTAATTGCTGCTGGGTTTTGAGCTTTCACTGCAAGCACTTTTATTAAGCAAGAGGAATTTGTCTGGTAAAGAAATTCACATAGAGCTAGACCTTGCTAATATATAGTGGTTGGGTAGTGTGGAGTTTTCGGATCCAAGCCATACCCTTGCCATAAATAATCCTGCTTGTCTTGGAATGACATATTCTCCAAAGTGTTTTGATTATCTTTACGTTTGTGTTCTGGTTTGGTGCTCACCAGCCCTAACTGTCTCAGTTAGAGGGGTGGGTTGAAGAAACACAGGTTTGGGGATCAGATTTGTTGGATTTAAGAGTTCTGATTATAGCCAGGTGTGGTAGTACACACCTGTAACCTGAGCAGTACAGAAAGCAGAGATGAAGGATTTCAAGTTTGAGCCCTGCCTGGGCAATTTAGTATATTAGCAAGATCCCATCACAAAAATAAAACTAAAAAAGGGCTGGGGATGTAGTTCAGTGCAACGGCACTGAAAACTTAAATAAAACAGTTCTAATTACATATGGAACCTCGATGAGTTTATTTCTTTCTTTCTGAGCCTTCATTTCTCAAGAACTGGGGCCAAGAAGAGTCCATCCCATATAGGACTGTAATGAAGATTAAATGTGATAATGCATGTAAATCACTTTGAATAGCACCCAATTAATGCCAGAATTGATTTAATATAAATCCGGTGTCCAAGATCATTTTTACAGCAATTCTTAGAGAAGGGCAAACAATTTTTTTCTAAATTTTTGACCAAATGGAAAAGCTGAACTAAAGGACTGATATAGAACAATAAATTCTGATTCAAGCCCATAGTATCCACAGTATTTTCTGATGTAGAGGCTAGAAATGGCCAAAGTATCAGGAATATGCCCATGTCTGATTTCTACTTCTGTAGAGGAGATTACTTCCTTATTTTATTATGGAAATCATATCTTATTATAAACATCTTAAATGTTGATGCAAAAAAGATCACCGAAAAAAGCTAATTTTACATGGTCTTTCCTAGATTTTGATCCCTGGAACATATTTCGGGTGTTTATGTCTTCTTCTTTGGCAACACTGGGGATTGATCCCGGGGTCTTTGCACTAAGCTACATCCCCAGCCCTTTTTTATAGTTTTATTTTGAGACAGGGTCTCATTAAGTCCCTAAATTACTCAGGCTGGGCTTAAACTTGTCATCCTTCTGTCTTAGCCTCTCAGAGTGCTGGCACTGTAGGTGCGCACCACCACACTGGGCTTGTCTTTTTCTTTAGCACCGGAGCAGCTGTGTGGTTTTTCTTCGCATCCATTCTTTGCCATTTGCTTCTTAGACCTCAGTGCTTGAGTCCCAGTGAGCCCCATTCAAATTCACCTCCCCTGCTTCAGCTAATTGACTATCTATCAAGAGGTTGTTGAATCTTAAATCTTTTACCTGCAGCACCGGGGATGCAATGGTACCCAGCCTATCAGCTGGAGGCACGGAAGGATGCGTGTCTAGCTTAGTACTTCAGGCAAGAGGGAGCACAGCGGGGGCACCGAAAAAAGCAGAGTGGAGCAGAGGAGCCTGACTGGCTGTGATCATCATGCTTCAGATGAATGCAAAATCATGTAATTTCAGAGAGTTCCCACAGTAGGAGCACTAATGGTGAAGACTGATCAGCTCAACCCAAATTCAAATGCTGTGGTATGGATTACTTTGTCATAAGGTTACTTTATCAGTAAGAATATTTTCTGTAGCTTCTCAAAATCTGTGAAGAACCAAAACCTTCTTCTTAAAACCGCTCCATCCATCCATTCATCCGTCCCATAAATGGTCACTTACCAGCAATCTAATGTCTCACACAAAAGACACGGTCCCTTCCTCCACAGAGAGACCACCTAACCACCACTTTTGATAAACTAAACATAGAACTTTTTATAGCACCACGTATTTAGCTATTTTAATCAGCAGAGGAGGTATCATTATTATTCTGGTTTTACAAAGGAAACAAACTCAGAACCTAAAGAGACTTCCTAAGGTCTCAATGAATCAGCATGTCTTTTGCTTCTAAGTTTAATGGCTAAACAAAAGTAGTTCAATACCAACATCAGTGTCTAACAACAGTTCCTGGCAAATAGCAGGAGATCAATAAATTATCTGTTGAGTAAGTGGAAGAATGAGTGACAAAGCATTAATCCCCTCTCCTAAGTCTAGGCCATGCTACAGCTAGGTTTCTGTTGCCTCAATTGTTCTTTTTTCCTCCTGCCTCCTCACCAGGGCCTTCCTTTCAGCACTTACTTCTGTACCATCCAGGTCTCTTTCTTCCTGTAGGACTAGAGGCGGTATCTCTCCTACTGGCTCGAACCAACCCCTCTACTTGGCCTTTGCCTTGTCCCTTTCCACCTGCTCAGGGATGCTTCACCCCATATTTCTCTTCTCTCTCTAGGACTTAACTGTGTTCTCCTCAACAGTATCTGACATTTCAATATGCCCATGTTCTCACATTGTGGTATGCTTGAGGAATAGAATAAAGGCCAGGGATGCTGGAAGGGAATGAACAAAGGTAAAGGTAAGGTAGAAAATAAGGTTGGGAAAAACGGGCAGAAAACAGAACCATGGAGAGTCTTAAGAGCCACAGGAAGGAGATGGGATTTTTTTCTATATGTGATGAGAAGCCAGGGAAGAATACTGGATAGGACAATGTGGTGTGATTTACAGTTAATTTTTGTTTGCTGGGTGCTTTGCCAAGGACAGAAAGGAATGTGGCAAGATCAGAAGGAAGGAACCTGCTAAGGGACCACCTTAGGGCAACAGGGTAGACGCGGCAGTGTTTGGATGTGAGTGGAGAGCACAACAAAGCCAGAAGTTCTCACAATGGGGGAGTACTTTGCAAAAGGCCAATGGCCCTTGCTCATGAATGGATGAGTGCAAGGGAAAGAGGCATCACACATGACTCCAAAACTGTCAGCCTGAGCTAATGGCCACATGGCAGGGACATTTACTCATGGGCAGACACAAGATTTAGGGCTCACGATACGCAATATCTGTGACCTCCTCAAGTAGAGGTGTTGAGTAATCATCTCCACACAGGATCTGAAATCCAAGG